TTTGCGATCAGCTGAGACAACAGATCAGAGTGAAAAGAAGGCAAATCCATTAGACAAAATTACATTCTTAGATCCAGAGACAAACTGGACCAGACCCAAAAACTGCAACTTGATCTAGACTCAAGAAAAGGAAAAAAAGAGTTGGTACCATATGCAATTCTTGGTAGTCTTGCTTAAGGCTATGATGCCTAAGTCTGACTTTCGGATCCTCAAAAGGATTAGGGTTCGAGGGAGTGAAATCTCGGTGAGTTCGATTCATTAGGTGAACACAAGATGGGTACTTGCAGAATCACAGGAGGAAGTAAATAGAAAGAGAGAGATGAAAGAAGTAAATAGGAAGAGAGAGAGATGATGAGAGGAGAGAGGAAGGTTCTGGGTTTCGTGTTGTAATCTAATACCAATCTGAGGAGAAGAGAAGTCAGAGAAGGACAAAGAAGCAGAAAAGAAGGACACATCATGTTGTTGCTGTTGTTGCTGTGAGAAGAGGAAAAAGAAAATTAAAAATAAAAAAGTTTGCTTTTTTTGGATGTGAGTGTTGTTGGGTTGAGACAGCAGTGATGAAGATGGAAGCAGACTTGTGCAGGGAAAGAGTGGGTAAGTGTGGGAAATGACTTCTGCACTAAATTGTGGTGTTGGGTCAAGAAAAAAGCAACTTCCTTTCTTCTTTCTTTTATGTCTTTTAATTTTAATGTTATCACTTATCAACAACACCTTTTTTTTTAATGGGTTTTGGTTGGAGAAATCTTGAAGAAACCTTTCTCTTTGTTTCTTGTGTTCCGTTGTCGTCTGTAATTTCAAGACTTTAATTTATTAAGTCAAGAGAAGTCAGATGGTGGAAGAGAAAAAACGATTAAAAAGATTCGCCTTTTTAAGCTATTACTAGTAATATATAGGGATTGCGTAGAAAACTCTGCCTTGATTTCTGGAAACTGGTGCTGGGTTTTAGTTAGAAAAAAAAAAATATTTACTTCTAATGCAAAAATCCATATTTAATTCCCATCTCATCCTCACATGCATTCCATTTACTCTGCTTTAAATATCACAAAGGAAAGAAACAAAAAAACCTTTAAAGTATCCAAAAGGCAATAACTTTTTGCATTTACATCGATGATTGTAGTGTGTTTCAATGCATTATGCATCTATGACCCATCAGCTGATGGAGGCTAAACGCAAATAGTGAAAGGTTTAGTTAGTTAGTTTGGTCACAATTTACACACTTCTCTGTAACGCTTAGCTTCTTCATTTCACGAGCTTTGTTTTTTACTTTGATGGTCACGTTTTGGTTCATGGGAGGAATTTGGATGGATCCAAGAGTCATGAGACCACACTCTCTCCTATTTATTTTTGGAAAATTCTCATCATTTTCAGTTTCATACAACTGATAGACTAATTAATCACACACACAAGAAAATAACATCATTGAAGTCACAATGTCTTCACTTACGTTGTGTTGTTTGCTTCTGTTATTTGGTTTGTCATGTGAAGGTAGGGAGATTCTGGTGGGAGGCAAGTCTAACACATGGAAGGTTCCAGAATCTAAGGCAGGGGAGACACTAAACCATTGGTCGGAGAGAACAAGATTCAAAGTTGGAGATTCTCTCTGTAAGTAGTGTATTTGACTTTGGTTCGTTTGCTCTGTTTTTTGTTTCTCATATAGAAACTCTTATGTCTTTGAACAGTGTGGAAATACAATGCGGAGAATGATTCAGTGATACAAGTGAGCCAAAAAGATTACGAGAGATGCGACAGATCAGAGCCTATAAGAGGATACAAAGATGGACACACGAAGATAGAGCTAAAGCGATCAGGTCCTTTCTACTTCATAAGTGGAGAAGAAGGACATTGCCAGAGAGGAGAGAAGCTTGTTGTCGTTGTCTTGTCTCCAAATCACAACAGAAGCAATGTGACGGCTACTCCTGTTAGTCATCCTGTAAACGCTCAGATCACAGCCAAGGGAAGTGGTCATCGCCTGAACGGAGCATGGAGTTCCATTGCAACAGCTTGTTTGCTTCTTCTTCCATTAGGCGGCCTTTTGGTTTAGTCTTGTTACTACCTCTGAGCCAATTCGGTCCGCTTTCGGTTCCCATTTTCCGGTTTCTTTGTTTTATTGGTTTATAAAGTTTTAATCTGAGTCATATTCGGTTTAGTTATGTATGACCATAATTTCGGTTCAGATCAGCAAGATATATCTTTTTTTTTTGTTTTTGAACAACTCAGCAAGATATATCTTAAACTGGAAAAACAAATGGAAAAGGTTTAATGGTTTCATTATAAACCCGGTTCGGTTACATTGGAAGCAAAATGTTAATCTAAGTGGGCCTAATGTGACCAGTTTTTCTCCCAATTAAAGGCCCATTGGTTTAAGCTTATGCTTGTCCACGATTTTCATTTGCTATCTTCGTCTCCGAGTCAGAGACCACTCTCTTCCTTATCCTCCATCTTCCAATGCGTTAATCCTGCAGTTGTCGACGACGATGTCGATAACGTACTCAGCCATTTCCTGTAAGTTTCTTCTTCACTCTGTTTCGAACCATCCTCAGTGCTCATTATCAGTCATTTTTATTGTCAGATTGTGATTGATTTTGGTTTCCGTTGCTTTTCTCTTCCCATGCGCAGATTCTGGTACACTTTCGGGCTTCTCACCAAAAAGTGTACCTTTTGCTATTCAGAGCGTACCCAGGAGCCAATTTCTCAATCCCAACCCGGTTTCTAGTTTCGGCCTCTCTCCTTCTCTTCGGGTCAGTTTCCTTTAGTAGCCAAAACCATCCAATTCGTTTCGTTCACGAATCCGAACTTGTGTGTAAACTCCAATTTCCAGTGGAGTGTCAAGTACTTACTGTTCCTTACGGATATATTTGTGCAGGGAAGTAGCATTGAGTTTCGACTTCACTTAAATTCAAGACTTGAGCGTCGATCTCTCCCCTTTGTTGTGAGAAATGATCATCCTCAGAACGCAGACGCGCCTAAGCAATACACAAGAAGAGAGAAGAAACCTTTCCCAGTCCCCATCGTGGACCTGAGACGAGCGTCGAGGGAGAGAGTCAAGAACAACAAAGACAAACCTAGGAGACCCATGCCTCCTCCTAAAAACGGTATGCTCGTCAAGAGCCTCGTCCCTCTCGCCTACAAAGTGTACAACGCAAGAATCAGACTGATCAACAACCTCCACCGCCTCATGAAAGTAATACGCGTTAATGCTTGTGGGTAATTAATTCTCTTTCTTCGTCTTCTTTGTGTAAAGTTTTTTGCCATAGACCTTTTGATGTTGTTTCGGTTGGTCTCTTTAGGTATTGCAATGAGATCCACGTTGGACCTTACGGGCATCCATTTAAGTCATGTAAAGGTCCAAATGCTTCCTTAAGGAAAGGTCTTCACGAGTGGACAAACTCTGTCATTGAAGACGTGATCGTTCCTCTTGAAGCATATCACCTCCATGACCGTCTCGGCAAGCGAATCCGTCACGATGAGAGATTCTCAGTCCCACGAGTCCCCGCTATAGTCGAGCTCTGCATCCAGGGCGGCGTCGAAATCCCAGAATTCCCAACGAAGAGGAGAAGAAAACCAATCATCCGAATCGGCAAAAGCGAGTTCGTTGATGCAGACGAGACTGAGCTGCCTGATCCAGAGCCTCATCTTCCTCCAGTGCCATTGTTAACCGAATTACCCGTCTCAGAGATAACTCCCCTTGCTAACGAAGAAGAAACAGTCTCTCTAGCCGAAGAGACATTGCAAGCGTGGGAAGAAATGAGAGCAGGAGCTAAAAAGCTGATGAGGATGTACAGAGTCAGGGTGTGCGGTTACTGTCCTGAGGTCCACGTAGGACCAACGGGACACAAGGCACAGAACTGCGGTGCCTTCAAGCACCAGCAGAGGAATGGGCAGCATGGTTGGCAGTCTGCGGTGCTTGACGACTTGATACCACCGAAGTATGTGTGGCATGTTCCTGATGTGAATGGACCGCCGTTGCAGCGGGAGCTACGAAGCTTCTACGGGCAAGCACCTGCTGTTGTGGAGATATGTGCGCAGGCTGGTGCTGTTGTACCTGAACAGTACAGAGCTACGATGAGACTTGAGGTTGGGATCCCTTCCAGTGTCAAAGAAGCTGAGATGGTTGTTTGATTGATATTAGAAGAGCTTTGTACAAAATTCTCCATTTCACATTGTATGATGTTCACACTGCTTGCTTGCTTAGGTAAAAAAATCTAGTTTCTTGCAATAGCCAAGGGCAAAATCGTCATTTAACTCACTGTCTTTACTTTGTTCTTTTTCGGTAAAGGCGATACCACTTGTGTGCTCTGTTCGTTTTTTTTTTATATATTCATTTTCGTCTCTCCTTCTTCGTACTTTCCTCTTCTTGCGGAATTGGGTTATATCTTCTTCTTCACCGTCGAGACGCTTGAAGTCATCTAAGCCATGGATTAGCTTTAAGTAAGTCTATGTCTTTTCTCATTTTTTTAGCAAGTTCACTTCGGTTCGCTTCTGTTCTGTTGCTATTACCTCTGTTCGTAGGGCTGATGTCTATTATTTTTCTTGTTTTAGTCCGTATCTGAGCTCTATTTTCTGAATTCGTCTCTCTATTTTGTGCCGGGGCCAATAATCCCTTCATCAATTTTTCGTTTTTTTTACCAGTCGATGATGTTACTTCGCTTGTGGAACATTTCCTAGTGAGTGTTAGTGTTTCTTCAACCAGAAGAATATTCTCCTTGAAACCTGGCATGTTATTACTCACAATTTCTGGAAGAAAAAAAGAAATCTGTTAATTACAACATTCATTAGGTGATTATTCATTTCTGACATGTCTAATTTGATATAGAGTCCGTGACATTCATCCGAAAAAATCTAATGGTAGATTTTTTTTGTTCTTGTTTGTGGATGATGCAGCTTCCTTCACGAGAACAGTATGTTAAAGCTCTGTTCTTTCTTTATCGATCTGAGGAAGTGATTGTGATTTGTAAAAGCTTTGTTGAAGACTACTGAGCTCTGGTTCCTTATTACCTATCATGGCAGGCAAACGAGAAAATTTTGCAAGGTTAGTGCATCTTTTTGTTTAAACAGAGCCTGAAATTCAAAAGATTGAATCTGTTAAACAATACTGTTCTTGTTCTTGTTCTTGTTCTGAAGCCCTCAAGTGAACAATCTTTTGCTTAATAGGGTGGATGATCTGGACTCTTGGTTGCCATCATCATCTGCATCCCGCCAACAGAACTACTCCTCCAATATCAGTGGACCGCTTTATCCTATTCATGCAAGCAACAACACATCTGGATCTTTCAAGAAAGGGATCCAAAAGGGTTCCAAAGGGCTTAAATCGATAGGACGTTCACTTGGTTTCGGTGTTTACCGAGCAGTGTTCCCAGAAGACCTTAAAGTCTCCGAGAAGAAGATATTTGACCCTCAGGATAAAACTCTTTTGCTTTGCAACAAATTGTTTGTCATGTCATGTATTCTCTCAGTGTTCGTGGACCCTTTTTTCTTCTATCTCCCTGTGATCAACAGTGAGTTCAAGTGCCTTGGCATTGACCAGAGTCTGGCTATAACGGCAAGTACATTGCGGACAGTTATCGATGTGTTTTACCTCGCTCACATGGCTCTCCAGCTCAGGACTGCTTATATTGCACCCTCCTCTCGGGTCTTTGGGAGAGGTGAACTCGTGATTGATCCTGCGCAGATAGCAAAGAGATATTTGCGTCATTGGTTTATCATAGATTTTCTCTCAATACTTCCTGCTCCTCAGGTTGGTTATATAAGTTTAGATCATCTCTGTTCGAAGCTCGCTTGTCAGAGATTTACATTAGTCACTTTGTGTATGTGCAGATTGTAGTTTGGAGGTTCTTGCAAAGTTCAAGGGGGTCGGATGTATTGGCTACAAAGCAGGCCTTGCTTTTCATTGTTTTGGTTCAGTATATACCGCGATTTCTACGTGTCTTACCCTTGACATCGGAACTGAAAAGGACAGCTGGTGTCTTTGCAGAGACTGCTTGGGCTGGTGCCGCCTATTATCTGCTTTTATACATGCTTGCAAGTCATGTAAGTGCATAGCTTCTTCTTCTTGATAATTACATTGCTTTTTGTCCAATGCTTGAGTTGTTATGATGTTCTATGCAACATTCCTTCCTATCTTAATTGATGTTGCATGGAATCACAAGTGTCAAGTTTGCTATGAAGAAACAGTTTTGCTAAGTGTTATTTTGATTGAGCTACTGTTGCCTTATGTTGCAGATAGTTGGAGCGTTTTGGTACCTTTTAGCCTTAGAACGTAACGACGCTTGCTGGCAGGAGGCCTGTAATGGTGCAAAGGATTCTTGCAGCACAGGTTTCTTGTACTGTGGCAATCAAAACATGGACGGCTACAATGTTTGGAACAAGACCAAAGAATCTGTTCTTCAGTCCAGCTGTCGTGCTGAAGAAGATGATCCTAATCCTCCATTTGACTTTGGGATTTACACACAGGCTTTATCCTCTGGCATTGTCTCGTCTCCAAAGTTCATCACGAAATATTGTTATTGCTTGTGGTGGGGCCTTCAGAACTTGAGGTAACCTTTCTTAAACTCCTCACAAATCACTCAAAAGTAAAGAAAAGACTATCTCTTTGGTCTTGCCAATTCTCAAAGTTCTTTTCCTTTGTATTAATTGCACAACAGTACACTTGGACAAGGGCTTGAAACCAGCACATACCCGTTGGAGATTTTATTTTCAATAGCTCTCGCCATCTCTGGGTTGATTCTCTTTGCTCTTCTCATCGGAAACATGCAGGTGACTTCAGCTTTTTCAGTGGAA